AGTCGATGAATGAATAAAAAATGAAGAAGATATCAAACGAACGCTAGAGAGACGCTCACTAGTCACTTTGTTTTTACGCGCTAATTAGGCGCGTCGACTTTTCCTTTTTTCTTTGTCTGATCTTCTATCAAAGTTACTCACGCGCGCGCGTGAATTGGTTTTCTTGTGGCATAATCATGATGAGTTAACTTTTAAACTAAGTACGAATAGATTTTATTTTTGGTACTTTGGTTTTGACATTTTTAGCAAGGTTACTTTGTATGACACGATTCGATCTATTTTCATATTTTATCCTTATAATAAATTATGTAGAACTGTATAATATATTCTTCTGAGGTGAAAAAATTATATATTCTTGTGTTATTTTCCCAAAATTTTTTTTTTTTTTTATTAAACTAGTTATGAACAATTAAAATAAGAACAAAGATTAGAAACTGAATCATGCATGGTTTAATCGATCTTAATTGGATTGTTTACACATATTTTAGACAGTGATTTGCCAAGTAGAAAATCTTGCAGTGGATAAACTATTGTCGGCTGAACAGAACAAAAATTCGGTTTTTGAAGAAATATCTTATATTGTTTTCGCCCGGTTTGTAGAGGATTAGGACCAGACCGGTCAAACAGAGGGAGTATTCACGGTCAACACTCAATTGGCACTGTCAAAACCGGTCTAGCGTACCGACATCTCTAGACGAGAGATCACATGCTTTTCGAAACATGACGATCGATGGGTGATAAAATCTCAGAATAATAAAAGAACTTATAAGAAAAAGGAATATTCTGTTGGGGAAATATCTGTGTGGTCTCTAATTGAAGTTTAAAAGTCACCATCGAATTTAGTTTTCTAAAAAAGTTTCTTTCAAATTTAAAACCAAAAAAGGACCATACTTTCCCATCTATAATGATCATCATCACCTCTTCTTCTTTGGTTCTTCTGCTCCTGTGTACTCTCTGATTAAGGCTTCAACATCTTTCCAGAATAAACCCTCAACAAGAACTCCATCTTTAGTAAGCCTGAATGATACACACAAGTAAACCAAATTAGGCTGTGCAACGGATATGGCGTGAGCTCGTGTTTGAACAATGC